CAGTTGGCCCTTTGCTATGTAATTAAAGACTGCAGATACTAATAATCCATTTTCTCTGGATACCTCACGTCACTCTTATAAGAGCCATATGTTTAAGTATGTTGCATAATTTCTGTGCAATTCCGTTTAACACATCCAGACACACTGGACTTCTTTAGACTGGCATTAGGCAAATCATTATAGTAGCTAAGGTAGAAATGTCACTGTTTTTAAGGCAGGATTTAGCGAGTTCCTTATTTAAAACTGTACATGCTACATGTGTATACGGCATACTGTATGCAATAGTAGTATAAAAAAATGCACAAGGCCATCATTGTCTTTTTACCTTTTGAAATTATATTTGGTAAAGTTTGAATATATTAAGGAACTGATTAATGTGTTTCTCTGTGTTGGGATGCAGGGTCTGACTGTGATGTGAGTTGTGCTGCTCAATATGTGACTGACCAGTTTGTGGCATGCGCTACCACCTCAGGCAAGATGGTGTACTCTCACTTCACCAATGCCACAGACCCCTCCAGCGTACATGATGCCTTCCAGCTCACCATGAGCACTATTGTTAAACATAACCTTCAAACAATCTCACTTCTCTAATTTTATATTCTTTTTTTTTTTTTTTTTTTTTTTTTTTTTTTTTTGTCTGCTGTTTCTGTGTCTATTTTTAACAAAATTGCTTATTTGTAATGGATCATGAAATCCATATATAAATGCAATATTTTTTTATAATATTTTAATTGTGAGCATCTTTGATTTGTTACGTGCTTAGTTAATTGACTTAATTGGGGGATCATTAAAGTGTTGTAAATAAATGGGCTAAATTATATTTAGCTGGATGTTTTGCTTTGTACTATAACGTGTCTTGTGTAAAAAAAATTTAAAAAAAGTGTATCTGGTCAAGTTGCTGAATGACACTTCATTATGGAAGTCCTTACCTTAGATAATATCTGGGACATTTACTTGAAATAATCTGATCGGTTTAAAAAAAAAATGTTGGCTGATCAAAACAACAAAAATACTGGTACTTTGTTGTGGTTGTCAGATATTAATGGAACATGTTCATGGTAAGAAGTTATATCTGGGATCACTCCTGTGGACACGTGTGTGTACTTCATGCATCCACTAAAATTCACTGCCACATTAATAGCCATATAAAAGTAACTAAAAAAATTATTTTAATTTTTTTAATTAAACCATTTTGATATGAATTAAATGACATTCATAACAGTGTGTAGAGCATAACCTTATTCATGCCAATTGATATCCCACTTATTTTTCCCTCTTATTTATCTGAATTGTCTATCTACTCCTAGCAGATGACTAGAATTGCTATCAGGTTACTATGCGAGTCTCACACAAAATTTGATCCGGTTAGATAGCATTAATATAAATGTAAATGTTATCCAAAGATTAGATATAGCTACTACTTCTGCCTTTTTGTGTAGGCTACATCATGTGAACAAATAAACTATTAAAAATGCAATTATCTCCTGTTAAATAAACCAGAAGGATAAACAATTCAGTATTCAAAATGGCTCTGCATAAATGTTTAAAGTTGAATGCTTTCTGCAAGAAAAAATGAATAAACAATGCATAAAAGGCGCATCGATTCACGCATCCGGTATTTGAATCATTTTCACCATTACAGGTGAAGTAACGCTAACTGGTGGCAAAATTTAAGTGCGCTTCGTCCGTATTAACAAAAAGTAAAATTTAAGTGGTTAACATCTTGATGGTATTATGTGTTTTGTCCTCCATTGAATGTTGTACAAAGTCAAATATACCAGGGATAAGCTCACCTGTTATGTGTGCCCATATTTCTATATAATAATATATGTGTAAATAGTCTTTTTTCCTTCTTTTTTTGGCATTAATATGAGCACTATGTTGTGGATTTTGCCTTTATTTTAATTTTATATATTGTAGTGGGGGGTGGGGGGTGGTAATTAGTTACAATTACTATTTTGAGTCCTTTAGTGCTAATCCTTGTATTTGAATCACAGACTGGTAGGTAACCTTGAGGATGAGATAGCAGAACCTGACCTGAGAAGTCACACTCTACACACTGTTGCCATGTGTCAGTCAGTGGGTCAGCCATTTCACAAGCTCCATGGTAAAGTCCATATAAAATAGCTACAAAGAAGAAACTGGTAAAAAAAAAATGTTTTAAAAGGTCCTGAAATTGTTAATTGGCACCAGTATCACCTATCGAAGCTCCATTATAGCATTGCCATCTTTTCTCTTTTCTCAAATTTGTTTCTTCTCTCTTACCATTTGCAACATACAGAGGAAAAAAGTTTGTCAGCTCTGCTTTTAGCATTGATTTCTGAATCAGCTGGTCATAATATTTTATCTTATCTTCAGCTAAGGCAAAACAGTAACAAACACATAACAACTAGTGTTACTGAACACTTTGTGTATTATCATTCACAGTGTAGGGTGAAAAAAGTAAGAGTAATGTCTTCTCCAAAAGGAATCAGTCCAGCGCTACTTGTGAGTGTTTAATGTCGACAAAGTCCAAAACATAGCTTTAAAAAGGAGAAGGTACCCTATCCATTCCATATCTGCTATTTTTATTCTTCACCCTTTTGTTGCATTTGCAATATTGTATTTTCCATTGGCACTGTTGCCACGATCGGCTGCAACCTTTTTTCTTTCTTTTTTGTGAGAAATCTTGAATATAGTCTGGTTCTGATACCAGTCCACATGATTCCCTTGGACTGAGTCTTCAACCCAAACTTAGTTGAGAGATCTACTGTTTCTTTATTTCATATTTCTGTTCATCTTCCTGTGATTCCAGCTTGCAAAGCTTAAAGTACCATGTTTTGGTGCACTTTCTCGCAACACTTCCCACAATGATTAACTGTTGGTGTGTAGACATTGAGTAGTCCAGATGAACACATATGCTAGTGCAATGTTGTCACATGCATTTTCAAAATTTTTCTGAATGTGATAGAAAGTAAAAAAAATTTGGAACAGTTTTACACCAGCTTTTAGCCTTTCCCACTGCTGATTGGATCAAACAGGGCCCTGCTGGAGTCCAACAATACAATTAAATTGGAGCTGTTGGTCAAAGCTGCACTATATAAAAAACACTAACAGTGTCTGAGTTATCTATTCACAAGAAGTACTGCCTGATGTGAAGCATGCCTCGAACAAAAGAAATCTCAGAACATTAAAGACTTGTTGAGTTGCATTTATGCAAAGGGTTACAGAAGTATTTCTGAAGGCCTGGAGGTTCATCAGTCCACAGAAAGACAACTATAAACGGGAAAAGTAGCTCCTTTCCTTAGTATTGTGTGTCCAGCAAAGATGACTGGAAGAGCTCAGTGATCCGAGATCAGAATCCTAAAGTGTCAGCTAAAGAGATACAAAAATGGAACATGCTCCAATAATGTCTCTATTGATGTGTCTATATATGATTTGTAAAAAGTTTCTATATATGATAAAAAAAAATATTATTTATTTTTTATAAAAAAATAAAGTTAATGGTTGGTCACCATGGTGGAAGTCACTGCTGTCCAAAAAACAAATAAGTTTGCAAAATAGCACTTGGATGTTCTGGAGAAATACTGGCAAATTATAAATGTATATACAGTATATATGTCAATTATTATACATTATATACAAAACAGTTTTGGGTTGTTTTACTCCCTGAGGGTTTAAACAGCTTTCTATCATTGATTTTAAAATGAATTTCCAGGTTTATCAGAACATTTTGCCGGAAAATTTACAATAGCAACCCTAAATACAGAAGTAAATCAATGACAGGAAGATTCCAATTGTCTCCTCTCCTGACTGATGTTCTCTGCAACTCACCAAAACTGCTTTATTGAACAAAATCCAACATAGTATCTGATAATACAGCAGTCTGTCATACGTCACAATTGTAGTGCAACTGCTGTTTTGTTTCTTGGGTCAACTGAGTTCCCAAGCACAACTCAACAGTGCTAAACATTTTGGAGTTGACCTGGTGATCTTTTCAAGTAAGTCCACTATCATACATTTCACTATAATTTATGATATAAGAGAAGCACTGGCCCTGAAGGGGTCAAAGGAATGAAACGCTTAACAGGAATCTAGAAGTCACATGAAAAAGCATGTACATACTTGTGATACTTAGGAACAAATAAAATGGCTGTAAATAAATCTTATCTGATAGACTGTAGAAGACACACCTTTAAACACACAACAATCATCTGTAAAACGAGTTGTTTGGCTTATGAAGTAACAAGTGCTATGAAGTCAGATTTATAGTTAGTGACCAGCAGCATAGTTTGCAACAATGCAAATAAAATTGCTTCAAGCAGGGGGCAGAATGAGCATTCAGAGCAGTGAAGGCATCTTGAAAAAAATCACAGTTTATGGAAGAAGGGTCAAGACAGGCACATATGAATTAAGGAGCCTCAAGGGATGTGCTGACAGAAGAAATATGAATATGTGATAATGATTTAGGCCTACTTTCCTTTAGCTACATTAAGTGCCTTTATTAAGTTATTATATTAATCACATATATTCTGCTAAAGTTTGTATTATTGTACATTGTGTTGTTTGTTTTAGTTCTTTGAATTCAGCAATCACCACAACAACTTTTGACCTTTCTGTAGTAAATGCTGATGCTGCGACAACTGTAAGCAGAACATGTAGGCTAGTTTGTGTCTTTAAAGAAGTAGGCTACAAAGAAACAAGTGAATATTTCAGTCAGAATTATTTCACTGCAGAATATATTTCAAATCTGAAAGTTTACTTATATTTTATACTTGTCAAATATGTGGAGAGAAAAAGAATAGCCTACATTTAATATTCTGTGACTAGAATTAAAAATAACTGAGGGCGTGAGGGATATTTTCTAAAGGCAGTGTACTGTAAAACCCATCTGAATAAACATTTTTTTTAATATTATTACATAAAATAATGTAAGCAAGAAACGGGCCTTTTAGCAGACAGTTTAATGTATATAAGTACTTCCCATTGTGTTATTGGCTTGTAGTTTTGTATAAATGGATCAACATGAAAATGACGCCCATTTTTCAGGAAACGAAACTTCTGAGATGTTAAGCTCCCCAGCTCTTCCTCAGCAGATACTTTCATGGTGTGTGGAGCATACGAACGTGATCAGATCTAACTGAGAGACTGACTGAGGGTCAAATGCACGATGACATGTGTGCTGTTCTGTGAAAACGCACACCTGCATTAGGTAAGACACAAACCTGAGAGTACACTTGCCTTCATAATGTGTGTCAGTTTAGCTTTAGCATGTCACATGAGGAAGAGACCAGACTGCGAGTTTCTCTTGATCTGGCATTAATGTCATATATCAGATCATATACCGCTAAAATAACACTCGCACAGACTCTTCATTCTTTTAAGTAACGTTAAGCTTGTCTGAGCATAATTCTTGTTAGCTTGGTTGTCAACGTCAGTATTGCGTTGTCGTGTTTGTTTCGGGCTATTAGTTGTGCAATTTTACTGATAAAATATTGGCTTATTATGCACAAATAGTAAAGTTAAGTTGTCGATTAGATCTGAGACATACGTTTTGTTTGTTTAATAGATTAGGGGATGGTAGTGAAATATAGGTTCGCCATTCAGACACGTCATACTCTGACGTTATCAATAATAGTCTATATTGGTAAAGGAGCAGCTTATCATATGTAGATAATATATTTATAAGCATATACCCATATACGCTTGGTGATTACAATCGTAATATCTATGTATTATTATTGTTGTTTAATTTTGTGGCGGGTTTCTTCTTGCTCGCGTTACTTTTAATTTACTTAATCACTTGAGCGACAGCGGCCTCTATTGGGGGATTTGGCAACATGTAGAGGTAGGGACCGTCTGAAAAAAAATACACGAATTCGTATGTTTTTACATCTGCTATTTTAGTAACTCATTTCTATATTAATTTAGGTGAAATTTCTGTATTATCTATTTGTTTATATTTGTATTAATGCATGTAGTTTTATTTGTTCTTTTGATCATTTTTATGTTGCAAAAGAGTAAAATTTCCCCAGAAGTCATGAAAGACAGGCATTTAAATTGATTTCACCATAGTTAAGGAATTAAGCACAGTAGTTAAGCACAAGGTAAAGTGGAGGACAATTAACGTTGCTTGGAGTGGCGCTTGCTGCTTTTATAAAATGGCATCAACAATAGTATAACACAGCAGTGTTCAATAAATTTCGTTAATCACAACTATCAATTTTCCACCAAGTGATATAGCTGTTGGCTGTTAAGATTTGCCAAGCAACATATAATAAAAATCATAATAAAGTTCAGGTCAGTGTATGTCAGGTATGTGAATATCACAATGACTTCCTGATGCAGAGTATAGGGCATTTGTGTTTGTAGAATGCTTAGCCAAAGTAATTTAAAATAATGATCATGTAATGTTGAAAAAATTAAGTGCAAAAAAAAAAAAGTGAAAGTAGAATACAGTTGTTAAAAACTATGTAAAATGAATAGGAAGGATATTTTTCATTATTTTAAGGTCATAATGTAGCTCTTAACTAATAAATTAATCCAAATTGTACAGATTAAAAATTTTAATTGAAGCACAAGATGCTCTTTGGAACATTCTTAAATCAAAGGAGAGAACATGATTATCAGGTTGTTCATGTCAGTTCCTGTGCTGCTGTCGGTAAAGAAAAAACAGGACATGTGATTATTAAGCCATTCTCAAATTCATAGTATTTATTTTTATCTTTCTTCATGTATGTTTCATTTATACATTACAACTTTTGACGAATTATTACAGTATTTTGCGTTAAATTAGAAAAATGCAGAATAGAAGCATTTTAACTAGTGACGTCTAATATTCAGATACAATTGTGTGTTGTAGGCATTTATTAGTGTATCAGGCACCTTATTATTTTATTTTAAAGTGGATCACTGCACTTAGATGAAGTGTAGGCTGTTTTCTTTCATTCACATGATTCCCGCAGTCTGTGTTTACTAAATTCATTATCTATATGGTGAACTTTGACTTATATTGCAAATAGAAATTGAAAGCAAAATGGAGTTCTGAGAAGTCATGTGACCACTTATGTTATCATTATATTGTGGAATAGTGGGTAAAACCCCTTACCTCATACTTGTGCTCTTTGCAGACATTACCGGAGAATGAAGTGTCCTCAGTGCAGTTTTGTGTCTTTGGAAAAGGCACCAATCTTCTGCAGTCAGTGTGGCTGTAAGCTGACATGTCAGTCAAATGAGACCGCAGCAGGTGGGTGCTTGAGTCTTTATAGATCTTACCATTTTTGATTCTGTAATTTAATTTTTTATTCATACATTTTGTTTATTTCCATTAAAGTTTCACAAAATGATAAAGACATGATTTCATATAAAAAATGACATTTATACAGGATATTTAACATGTAGCCTATATATATAAAACATCTAACACAATATGCAGTGGTGTGTACAGCTGCATCTCAATTCACTTATTTGTGGTTAGTTTTTCTCCATATACTTAACTGTGTGGCAGTTTCAGACACAACAGTATAAAGGTAGACACATTGCTTATGTTGTCTGATGCATCTTATACAGTAAATGAATGATGTTGAAAATGAATGTAATTAATCAACAGAGTTTCACATTCTTTTGTCATAGTGTTGACTGCTTAAGGTCAACATCAAATCAAAATACATGTTTTTTGGTCTTATTGTGTGTGATTCATTAATACACATTATTCCAAAGAAAAGAAAAACATCTTTGTAATCAGCATCAAATTTTAATAAGTTTCCCCACCTCCAAAGCAACTTTCCTTTTCAGCTGATGTCACAAATCCATCTTACTTTCCAAATTCAACCGCCTGTCATATATGATGGGTTTCATTCATTTTGTGCAATTTAGAAATTCTTGATATGTGCACAGACTGTAAAAGACATACACATAAATGAAAATTCATGTTGTTCCAAACTTAATTTTCTTTCTGTGGACCACAAAAGGAATCTAAAGACTGTTTCAGTAGTTTTTGCCCATACAATGAAAGTCAAAGAATGTTTCAAGCGCCAAAGATACATAAAGGTAGCCTGGAATTAATTCATACAACTAATAACCTTAATAACCAAGTGCGCAGTCCTCAAAATAATTTCATACACAATAAAACGCCTTTTATACAGACCCAGTTTACAGAGCTTTCATTAGCCGCCTGTACATGCGCTATTATTCAGAGAAACCTCACAGCTCGAGCTATAGTTTAGTGCACCTTTTCTTACTCTTTCACTGTATGTGATTAAATACTTTTAAGATTAAATATACGTTTTATCATTATTATAAAATATATAACCATTATCCTGAGATGAAACATACATTTTGTCTTAACTATATATATATATATATACATGCATGCATGCATACACACACATATATTATATAGATTTTTAATACCAATCAGAGTTTAATTTTTGCGTACATGTGCTTTGAGTTGTTCCTTTTTTTCTTTTATATATATATATATATATATATATATATAGAATAAATTAGTACGAAAGTTTTAGTGAATCATTTGTTTGTGAAATCGTTCATACGCAGGTTTCAAGCACAAATTTGTGCACATGCTTAGTGAATGAGACCCAGTGTGTGTTTGCTGTGTGACCTTTGTTTTTTGTTTATCAGACAAGCCACAAGACAAGTTTCAAACATCCTCAAACATTCCACATGGTACCGATGCAGAAATGACTGATATAGGACGTGAATCAGAAGCATTGGATTACCAGAATGCCAATATATCCCCAAAACGACAAAATGAAGATATAATCCCAAACCCAAAGAAAAAGGTGCTGGATATGAAAATTAATTATAACTATGAAATAGTCCTGGATTTTTTAAAATCTTTAAAAAAAACCTTATTCCTTAAATATTTTATTATTTTGAAATTCTGTTGTAATTTATAATGCAAATTTTTTTTCATCATGCTTCTACAGAAAAGAAAGAAGAAGAAGAAAAAAGCAGGTGTTGCAGAGGGCCATTCGTCTCTGACCTCAGATCTCTCTGATATATCGCTGACTGAAAAAGAAAAGAAAATGGAGGAAGACCAATCTTCTGACAGTGATGGCTCTTACTGTACTGTAGATGACATGCCTAAACCGGCTGAATCATCCTCTCATCTAAGCCCTACTGAAACTGCTGAGCTAAAACAACAAGCTGTCTCTGCTTTACCCATAGATGCTGCTGTAAGTCACTCAGATGAGCAGCCTAATAGTAGCAAAGAGAGTTGTGTAGTACCTGAAATGACAGAAACATCTAAGTTGCAATTGACCCAAGAGCTGATCAGCATTAGCACTGACAAAGCTTCTCCAGCAGTGACCATGGAAGCAAATGAGAAAGATGAAGATAAAGTAAAATCTAAGAATAAAGGACAAAAGAGTGTGTCCAAAAGAAAGCAAACTACTCTAGATCGAGATGGTGACATGGACCAGAATGCAAACATAAAGAGCAGCACAGGAAATCAAAGGGAGACAGATGATCATGATGTGGGGGCACAGAACAACCACAGCTCCAGTGGTGATACTTCAGTGAAGGTTGAGCAGAGTCAGAAGCAGCAGTCTGCTTGTGCAGACCAGAAGAATACAGCATCTGAGAAACAAAATAAAAGTGAGGAAGCAGAAACCAGTGAAGGCATACAGCATGTCTCATCTCCTAAAACAAAAAAGTAAGCAAATATTTTTTATGTATTTTGATAAGAAATCTGGTTTAAAAAAACAAGAAGCATTTGTTATTTTAATTGAATTGTCAATACATACTTTAACTTCACAGAAATCAGAATCAGGAACCACAGAATTCATCACAGGTCATGGTGTTTGGCCCACAGAATAAATCTAAGGTAAACAAAAATGTAATATATATTTATATAGAAATGATCAATAAAATTATTGTTAATAAAGTGAAACAAATAATACATTTTACCTACTGTGTGTAAATTTGGGAGCTGGAATTAGACAGAGCTAAAGCTTTGGGCAGGGCAGGCAGACGTTTTATTAGCTAACGCTAACAATCTCAGATAGGCCATAGTTGATTGGTTAACTGGACCAATATGATGGTCTGTTACTGGAAATCCCAAACATGGAGTTACTGTATTTGATGAGCATTTATTTTTGTTTATTTAGAAGAATCACGATTCCAGTGCCGATTCTTCAGTGAAGGTTGAGCAGAGTCAGAAGCAGCAGTCTGCTCATGCAGGCCAGAAGAATACAGCATCTGAGAAACAAAATAAAAGTGAGGAAGCAGAAACCAGTAAAGCCATTCAGCATGTCTCATCTCCTAAAACAAAAAGGTAAGCAAATATTTGTATGTATTTTGATAAATAATGCTTGTTTTTTTAAAACCAGATTTCTTATGTCATTTTAATTGAAATGTCAATACATACTTTAACTTCACAGAAATCAGAATCAGGAACCGCAGAATTCATCACAGGTCGTGGTGTTTGGCCCACAGAATAAATCTAAGGTAAACAAAAATGAAATATATATTTATATAGAAATTATAAATAAAATTATTGTTAATAAATTGAAACAAATAATAAATCTTACCTATTTGTTAATGACAATCACAATGAATCTGTGATTTTGCATTTTCTGAAATTTGCCTTTTTTTTTCTTTCTTTCTTTCTTTCTTTCTCTCTCTTTCTTTTTCTTTCTTTTTACAAGTATGGGTGTAAATTTGGGAGCTGTAATTAGAGAGAACTAAAGCTTAAGCTTGTCAGACATGTTTTATTATCTAGCACTGACAATCTCAGATAACCCAAAGGTTGGTTATATCGACCAATATGTTGGTCTGTTACTGTAAATTCCAAACATGGAGTTGAAAGATGACCATTTCTGTTAATGTTGCATTTAGAAGAATCACATTTCCAGTGGAGATTCACCATTGAATGCTGAGCACGGTCCGAAACAACAGCAGTCTAAACATGGAAAGAAAGATTCTGCTATGGACCAGAAACGGAAAGAAAGTGATGATACAGAAAGTCAGTGTGTCACGCTCCCAAAAAGGTATGCTGAATCGTGTGATGAATGCACTTTTGGTCACACTTATAGTTCAGTTTTTCCCACTGGAATATTATTGTATCAATATTTTTTAATTGCAGAAATCCAGCATCAAATCAGCATATAAGTTCCAGTGACAAACTCACCATTTACTTTCATGCAGTCCTGTCAAAACACTTCAAGTTTAAGCCAGAGGAGGATTATATTTTTATAAGAGCTGGTAGTCACATTGGTAACTGGGAAAAAGATCTAATCGAACTGTTTGTGACACGGTTAGTAAATATTTTCAGAGCCAGATATTTATTATTCATTGCTGAAATCAGTTATTTAAGAATAATTTGATTTTTAGGGATCTTGGGGAGCATGGATTTCTTGTTGAAGGGAAATTTGTATGCAAAAGAGCTGATGCTGCATCTGTGTCCATCCCCTACAAGTATGTTGTGTATAAAGCAAAAAAGCAGAAGTATGAATTACATTATGAATACATATACAAATTGGATTCAGATGAAACCACCAACAGATGTCTGTTTGTTAAATCACATCTCTTAAATGATGAAGGTAGGTGAAGCTCTTCAGAAGTCTATATTTATTTTTAATTTTCACTTTTAAGAGACTAAATTTGTTCTTTTGGTGTATTGCAGGGGAATGGCATCAGTATGATGATATCATCTGTGCAGAACCATCTAACAATATGTTTGAATGGATCAGAAAAGCTGTTTGGCCTGATCATAAGAAAGGTGTACTCCAGGGGAGACAAATTGCTGGTACAGTCATGCTGGGATCTATTTTTGACCTCCTGAGAAGCTGGAGCAAAATGAACCTCAGCAGCTTCTTTAGTCAACTCAGACAGTTTTTTGAGGTCTATGGAAACCCTTTTGTGTTTGAAAAGACACATACGAAATGGTACTCACTCGATTACAGTGAAAAAGATGTAAGTAAACCATATGTAACTCATCACATATTAAACGCATATTAAACACATTCATACATTTACGCAGTTTTCCCACGGAATTGGGCTACTTTACCACTTGCCGTGCGTTTTGTAGTTTTGAGTAGCAATTAGGCAGGTTTTGTTGTGAAAACCTGGCAACCCTGGTCACGCTTATTGACTGTAAGATGATTTACGATTAGCCGTGTCTGAAATCCAACCACGCATTGGCATGTTGTTATCTCAGAAACCGGCTCAGCCATCACATTGAATCCGGTAAACTGGTTATATATTTATGTTTCAGTATAATTATGCACGCTGAAGTCTTGTCAGTTTAAACATTAAAGTAATTTTAAACCATTTAAACCCAGGACATCTCAATGCGGTACTCACGCACTGTGATAGAGTGTTTCTATGCGCACCGCTCACACACCTGAAGTGCACAAACAGATAGCCTTCTCAGACAGCAGGTGAATACCAATGGCTGTCTTTACAAGTATCCTTGTAAGCACAGTCGGTTGTTTTAAGTGAATGTAAACAGTAAAGAAAATATCAAATGTACATCGGTATAACGGGTCCGTGCATTTCTTATGTAAATAATGTTAATCAAAAAGAGCAAAAGAAAAATTGTTCGCTGCTTTAATAGCTTTAATGGATATTTGCTTTTATGTTAATGTTAATAAAGTAATTCGGTGTGACTACAGTAATACTGGGGGGGGGCACGAGTGCACTTGCATGTCCTAAAAGGTTGAAAACCCCTGTTCTAGTGCACAGAGATATGTAGTATCTGTCTGAGGACAAAAGTAAAAACAAGCTTTAGCCTAGGTGTGAGGGGTCTGTGATGATGTAATTTCTTTATTTTGGAGAAATACATGTTCTGAATGTTGGGCAGGTGCACACAAATGACCCTCTCAGTTGTCCTAATAATCCATTGCAGTCTGATTTGGTGGCTGAACCAAACCAGACTCAGTAACAGTTGAATAAAACTGTCATCTATGCCTGTGGCAGATTGAACTTGACAAAGGAAGTACAACCTCTGCTCGGATTTTTCTCAGTGGAGTCAATGTGAGTGTTCTGCTTCAGGTCCTGGGAGATGGTTGATCCCAGGAACCCGAATGACTCCACTGCTGCCAGAGTGCTGTTGTGAATGGTTAGGAAGAGCAGTAGTACTGGGATTTCTCGTGTTCAGCTCCAGATCGTATTAACTGCACCAGAGATCCAGATGTTCAACCTCTCTTCTGTAAACAGATTCATCACCATCTTGGATAAGTCCAGTGATCATGGTATCATCTGTATACTTCAGGAGTTTGACAGAGGGGTCTGTAGAGATGCAGTCATTTGTGTATAGGGAGAAGATTAGTGGAGAGAGCACACAACTCTGTGGAGTACCAGTGCTGATATTGCAGGTGCTAGATGTGAATTTCCTCAAACTCACTAGCTGCTGCTTTCAGGAAGTTGCTCCACTGACAGGTGGAGGTGGGCACAGAGAACTAAGTTAGTTTGGTCAGGAGGATATCTGAGATTATGTTTTTGAAGGCTGAACTGAAGTCCACAATGGGCAGAAGTTCTGGGTTTGTCCAGATGTTGCAGGATGTAATGCAGTCACTAGTAAAAAAGCTATATACAGTACTTCAGATACATTTATTTCACACTAAGTATAGTTCAAATCTATTAACATTTACTGGCGATCGAGACTTATTGGTATAACATTTATAATTAAACTTAATTTGGAGTACCACTTGTGCACAATATTTTATGTCAAACATCTTTAGTTCACATCCTGATGTGGCATATACAGTATGTACTGAACGTGACTACAAAAAATATTTAGAACCTGACCTCAAAAGAATATAGTCATGTGAAAGATCTCGTTTACCGAGATTTAAGAGCTATGGCAACAGGAAGATTTTTCTTATAAATTTTGGCCTTTTCCTCACAAAAAACTCAGATGACTTCATTCAGAATATATAGCACATATGCCAAATTGACTACTTTTATAATATTTTTATGGTGCTTTTTTTCTTCCTTTTTTAACCTCTCAGGTTACGTATGTAACCATGGTTCCCTGAGTAAGGAACGAGACACTGCATCCTCTAAGGGTCGCTGTGGGGAATGCCTCGACATGGCCCGTGTCTGAAGTATGCATTCAAAAAACACCAACAACATGTTGGCCGCCGACAGCCTATAACGTCACTACCGGTGCGACTATAGTATAATTAGGCACCGGAAGAACACGTCATCCACTTCTTCATCTGAAGCTTGCGTCCGATGCATGGCAGAATGATGCATACTCGGAACCATGGTTAAATGCGTAACCTGAGACGTTCCCTTTCAAGGGAACTTCGAAATGCGTCCTCTAGGGATCGCTATGGGGAACGGTATACCCACGCCACCATGCTGAGGGGAGTGCATGCCAAACCACAGGGGAGCACCAAGTACCAACTCTACCAAAAACTTTAAGGGAGTTGCCCCTGGGACGTTAGATGGCTGTCAGTGACATTATCCCCTACAGCCAAAGGCCTAAGCTACCTATCCCAAAAAACCTACCTGTTAGGGCCAGAACTCCTGGGCCCGGGGTAGAGCTCAATGCTTGGAATCAGGAATAGATTCGACCAAGTGCCTAGAATCGTACTAGGTCTTGGCCTGTCACCCAGGGGCTACCGCTTGCTCTGCATGAGCTTGCTGAAGGAACTGTCTCAACAGACCCCTAGTAGCAACACCCTGTTTAAATAGGTATCCTGAGGATACATAGGTGGAGTGGTGCCCAAGGTGGAATTGGGGCCTAACCGACTCAAAAGAAAGGGCACGAAGCCGCCGCGCATAGCCCCCACCATACAGGATTTTAGAACGAACGCAAAATGCTTAATGTGCGAATTTACCACAGTGTGGATTTTAGAAAGTGCACAGGGACTTCGCGTGCACGCTTACTATAACATGGATTTTAAAGATACCGTTCTAAGGGGCCCTCGTGGCATTCTGAAGGAGCAGCCCATAGATGGAAATGGTGCATCCCATGAACAATATGTTTGAGAAGTCATCAACTCAATCTATGGTATAATGCTGGAATGGCTAGCTATAAGTTACCTAGCTGAGGGAGCATAACACCCAGCTCTCAGCCAAGAGGGAGGCTCGACCTACAGCCTGTCCGTTAGAAATCATGAAGGGTAAGCGTACTGTGAGCTTAGCCAAAAACCCAGCGCATCAGGGAGGCAGAGGAAGGGCCTAGTTCGCCTGATGTTGCCGGTTCCAGGTGCTCTGGGAAAACGGAGAACTCAACTCTCCACGTGAAAGGAGAACTCCGAATTAAGAAAAGAGGTAGCGTGCTCATAGGCAACCCTCCGATAGAGGAGAGCACTGCTAACCACGAGAGCAGCCCACAAAGTGGGGAATTCCACTCCTCAGAAGGGGAGAAAATTTGAATGCTCCGAAGAAAGCACCATGCTCATAAATAACCCTCACAGTGAGGGGAGCGATGCTTCAAAAAATTTATCAACGGAGACACACTAGTTGAGTGGAGCTCAAGGCGAGTCCCAGGGCCTAAGCCAACTCAGAGAAAGGGAACAAGGCTGACAACGCATAACCCTTACCATACAGGATTTTAGAAAGTACGCAGAGTGCTTAGCGTGCACACTTACCACCATGTGGATTTTAGAAAGTGCGCAGAGTGCTCAGCGTGCACACTTACCACCATGTGGATATTTAGAAAGTGCACAGAAGCTTAGCGTGTGCACTTACCATAGTATGGCTTTTATAGAGATTCCTAAGCATCTGCTCACAGATGCCCAGAAGTCCTGAGACAGCCAAACGAGAGTGGCAAGCTCAAAGACAACCCTCTGAGGCGAGGGGAGCACTGCCTGGCAATAGCACTTCACCAGAAGGGTTTCTCACAAAAACGCCACTCATACCTCCCGCTCGACGTCTCAGCGAGAGGGGATCTCCTGATTCACAGGAAGCCCCTCGGGGCGAACCTGGATATGGCGTCCCAGTCAGGGCAGCCTGAAAAGCATAAGCCCAGCCCGGACGTCCAGGAGTATTGTGGTGCTGTGCCGGGGACCTGATGACCAAGAAGCCTGTGATCCTTCGTGGAATTAAGGTTTTGAAGACCGCTGAACTTCTCAACCACCCTCTCGACGGAGGTACCAAAAAGTTCGGAAGGCGAAACCGGAGCATCGAGGAGAAAGCCCCTCTCTTTCTTCCCGATATCTGCCAGGTTCTCCCACAGATGTCTCTCCGTTACCACCATGGCTGCCATAGATCTGCCCATAGCAGAGGCAGCCTGCTTAGTAGCACGGAGAGCAAGATCCGTGGTGCGGCGCAACTCAGCTACCTCATCAGGAGAAAGGCCCTCCCCTTTATCCAGGTCTTTCAGTAGATCAGCCTGATACGCCTGAAGCACCGCCATCATGTGCAACGAAGCGACAGCCTGACCTGCTGCTGCGTATGCCCTGCCATTTAAGCGAGATGTATCCTGAAGGGGCTTAGATGGCAAGGAGGGAGTCTTGAGAGAGGATGTCTCACCCATTGAGAGATAGCTAGCCAGCGTCTCTTCTACAGGGGGCATCTTCTCATAGCCGCTTCCTTCTCGACCTCCGTATGGAGATCAGGAAGAAAAGGAAGGCTCACTTGAGCTGGGGGGCTATGGTCAGACAGATAACGCTCGTCGAGACGACCTCGTGGCGCCTCCTTCCTGGCCCGCTTCCACGCCAAGTCAAGCCTCGCCGTGGCATGATCCATAACCTCCAGTAGCTCATCATACGCAGGGCAGGAGGATTGGGAGGGCTCAGCCTCAACTTCTTCGCCCTCCTCAGACATCTCCTGCTCTTCCTGGGCCAAAACCCAGCGCATCAGGGAGGCAGAGGAAGGGCCTAGTTCGCCTGATGTTGCCGGTTCCAGGTGCTCTGGGAAAACGGAGAACTCAACTCTCCACGTGAAAGGAGAACTCCGAATTAAGAAAAGAGGTAGCGTGCTCATAGGCAACCCTCCGATAGAGGAGAGCACTGCTAACCACGAGAGCAGCCCACAAAGTGGGGAATTCCACTCCTCAGAAGGGGAGAAAATTTGAATGCTCCGAAGAAAGCACCATGCTCATAAATAACCCTCACAGTGAGGGGAGCGATGCTTCAAAAAATTTATCAACGGAGACACACTAGTTGAGTGGAGCTCAAGGCGAGTCCCAGGGCCTAAGCCAACTCAGAGAAAGGGAACAAGGCTGACAACGCATAACCCTTACCATACAGGATTTTAGAAAGTACGCAGAGTGCTTAGCGTGCACACTTACCACCATGTGGATTTTAGAAAGTGCGCAGAGTGCTCAGCGTGCACACTTACCACCATGTGGATATTTAGAAAGTGCACAGAAGCTTAGCGTGTGCACTTACCATAGTATGGCTTTTATAGAGATTCCTAAGCATCTGCTCACAGATGCCCAGAAGTCCTGAGACAGCCAAACGAGAGTGGCAAGCTCAAAGACAACCCTCTGAGGCGAGGGGAGCACTGCCTGGCAATAGCACTTCACCAGAAGGGTTTCTCACAAAAACGCCACTCATACCTCCCGCTCGACGTCTCAGCGAGAGGGGATCTCCTGATTCACAGGAAGCCCCTCGGGGCGAACCTGGATATGGCGTCCCAGTCAGGGCAGCCTGAAAAGCATAAGCCCAGCCCGGACGTCCAGGAGTATTGTGGTGCTGTGCCGGGGACCTGATGACCAAGAAGCCTGTGATCCTTCGTGGAATTAAGGTTTTGAAGACCGCTGAACTTCTCAACCACCCTCTCGACGGAGGTACCAAAAAGTTCGGAAGGCGAAACCGGAGCATCGAGGAGAAAGCCCCTCTCTTTCTTCCCGATATCTGCCAGGTTCTCCCACAGATGTCTCTCCGTTACCACCATGGCTGCCATAGATCTGCCCATAGCAGAGGCAGCCTGCTTAGTAGCACGGAGAGCAAGATCCGTGGTGCGGCGCAACTCAGCTACCTCATCAGGAGAAAGGCCCTCCCCTTTATCCAGGTCTTTCAGTAGATCAGCCTGATACGCCTGAAGCACCGCCATCATGTGCAACGAAGCGACAGCCTGACCTGCTGCTGCGTATGCCCTGCCATTTAAGCGAGATGTATCCTGAAGGGGCTTAGATGGCAAGGAGGGAGTCTTGAGAGAGGATGTCTCACCCATTGAGAGATAGCTAGCCAGCGTCTCTTCTACAGGGGGCATCTTCTCATAGCCGCTTCCTTCTCGACCTCCGTATGGAGATCAGGAAGAAAAGGAAGGCTCACTTGAGCTGGGGGGCTATGGTCAGACAGATAACGCTCGTCGAGACGACCTCGTGGCGCCTCCTTCCTGGCCCGCTTCCACGCCAAGTCAAGCCTCGCCGTGGCATGATCCATAACCTCCAGTAGCTCATCATACGCAGGGCAGGAGGATTGGGAGGGCTCAGCCTCAACTTCTTCGCCCTCCTCAGACATCTCCTGCTCTTCCTGGGCCGAACCCAGCAGAGCACTGGCCCCTGGATCAGACGATGTTAGGAAAATCACATCATCATCCTCCAGCGGCTCACCCTCATCCACGGCCAACAAGCGCGAGAGGGAAAGCCCCTTTATTTTTACCGGCCAACATGTTGTTGGTGTTTTTTGAATGTATGCTTCAGACACGGGTCACGTCGAGGCGTTGCCCATAGCGATCCCTAGAGGACGCAGTTCGAAGTTCCCTTAAAAGGGAACTTGACAGTCACAGTTAAAGGGGTCATATGATGCGATTTCAATTCAACTCTCTTTGGAGTGTTACAAGCTCTGCATAAAAAAGATCTGTAAAGTTGCCAAGACTAAAGTCTCAAATCCAAAGAGATATTGTTTATAAAAGTTAAGAGTCAACCATGCCTACCTAAAATGGCTCGTTCTAACACGCCCCCACATGTCTACGTCACGATGTGGGAAGATTTGCATAACCCCGCCCAAATGTTCACGCAAAGAAAGAAGGCATAACTTTTATTCTCGCTGTAGTATTGTTGCTGCCACCATGTCGTGAAGGCGCTGTGTGTTTTTCGTTGTGAAAGTGAAACTACTTTGTTTGGCTTTCCAAAAGAGGACACGACTAGAAATTAGTGGTTAAGTTGTATTTACAACACTGTTCCGGAACACTTCAAGCCAAATATTCAGATGTGTGTAGCACATTTTATGGAGGACTGTTTCCTGGTCCTGGTAGAGTAGACTACAATGCCGGCTGTTCTGAATCAGACTGTAAGTACGTTTTTTATGTTTAAAGAATTTGCCACTGATGATTCAAATGCAAGTTTTGGCCAGTGTTCAGTAGGGCTTGTTGTTTGTCATTTCTCCGATCACAAATGCAGACATGGTTTTATGTTTACGCGGCGCGATGCAACGCAATACGTTAAAAGACAGAATAAGTAATTATAATCCGGAATTATGTCCCCACTGGATGCAACAAAGGCCTCATTTATAATGGGTTTTCATGTTTTTGAATCGTCGTTCCAGCCTGACAGGACATCACAATATGGTAAGTGGTGTAACATTTCCGTCACACGCTTGAGATATTCGGCCAATTACAACGCACTGGATAGCTGGCCAATCACAGCACACCTTGCTTTTCAGACCGATGAGCTTTGTAAAAATCTACGCGTTTCAGAAAGGGGGGACATAGAGGAGAAATAATAATGTACAGTATGTGGAAAATAATGTTTTTGTTTTTTTTTTAACCTTAAACCGCATAAACATTTCATTACACCAAATACACAAAATAATGTTCTTTTTAGCAACATCATATGACCCCTTTAATATAATAGAAAACGCTACTCTGCAATATTATTTTATGCAATATTGCACTTTTGTGTTGTACTGAAGGACGTTCATACACATTTAAAATTAGAGACATAAACTTGAGTACATAATGACAGAATTTTCACTCTTTGTGGAACTAAGCCTTTAAGAGCACAAACCGGTATTTAGTGTTCAAATGCAAATGTCTACATGAAATCCTAACATCGTCTCATTTTTATTATGTCAGGTGAGAAAGCTTCTGAAGCAGTTCATGCTGGAGCGGGTGACTCCCGAGTTACAGAAAGACAATGAGGAAAAGAGTGAATTCATCAAGGAGCCACTGAAGGCTGGCCTTATTATGCTCTATGTATGGCAACAGTATCGTTTAGAATTAGACAAGGGAACTCTTTCTCGTCTCTGCACTGCCCTGTGCCTGCCAAAATTGCCTAAGGATAAATTCCTATCTTTCTGGACAGACATAACAGAATCATTCTCAGCAATAGAAAAGTGAGTATAGTTATCTTGGTTATAAGTTAATTATAGAGCTCTGGAGAGAACATATTGCAAAACAAAACACTTCTGGAATAAACTGAAAATTTTGTGACTGGACAAAGTCTGCATGGTCAGAGAGATCATCACATCAAATTAACTGTAGAACATGTGCACACCATGGTAGAATACAAAATTATCTCAAGGTCATTTTATTTGAACATTTGTAAAATTACAAATATTTTTGCCTTTTATAACAAATAAAGAACCACTCCCTGCACACCTGGATGATTGCAGTATTGAACACAGCAAATACTGTACATATAACAAGAACACAAAACAGATCCTAAAAAAGAACTTGATTATCAATTAATCAATTATTACATAGCTAAAAAAAAATTCAATCATAATTCTGCCTCAAAAAGACAAATTTTCATACAGATTTATATACAAATTACTGTTCAAATTATACCTTTTGAGGAAGAACTGCAAAGAAATTCTTTAGCATATTATGAGCTTCATTTTTCTGTTTTTAAAGAAATAGATCACCCAAAAATTTAAATTCCCCCATTCCTATGTTCAACTAAACCCTTATTTCCCCCCCATGTAATACAAAATTAGAGGTTCAGCAGAATGTTTATGTTGTTGTTTTTTATATGCAGTGAATGCATATTGCATTTAACGAGAGAGTTCACCCAAAAATATTATCATCATTTACTCACCTTCATGTTGTTCCAAACCTGTATGAATTTCTTTCTTTTTTTGAAAACAAAAGTAGGGTGAATAAATAATGACAAAAGTTTTATTTTTGGATGAAATATCCCTTCAAATGTACTATAAAAGTAGTCTTTGTGTGCTCCCCTCCAATTCAGTCGGCCACTTCTATTGTATTGTAAAAGTGTTTGTTTTTACAAATTGCCAAAATAATTTTTCAACAGCATGCCACAGACATCTGCATTAATACAGCTTATAAAAATCTCAGAACATTGGTTTAATAGACAGAGAACAGACTTGAGTCCAGCTTGTTTTGAGAAAAGCAATATTATTTAAAATCTTTTAAGAACTTTTGATAACTGATTTGCTCTTCAGCTTGTCTGACATGGTGAAGGAACTGATCAACAGAGTGAGAGCAGAGGACATGTCCAAATGGGTCATTGTAATTCCACTACTGCACCTTCTCAAGGGCACTTCAAAACCATTTGAGCCAGTGTCTTCTAAGGTCAACACACAATATGATATGAGCTGGGCTGGACTGCAGGGACTCAAATCAGCTAATATAACTTCCACCAGATCCCAGGATCGAAGGTACTAAAATTGTCTGTAGGTTTCCAAAGGTTTTTTTTTTCCCCCCCAATTCTAGGTTAGATCATGTTAGTGTTAAACTTTTGAGCCCCCTTTAATATATGACCATATTAATATATGATTAATATATCATTGATGTCTGTTGAATCCCTCTATTTTAGGGCAATGCTCAATCTCATGAAGACCCATGGACATTTGGTGGAGGTGGACAAACTGCTGGCACGGTCTTGGATGTATCTGATGACCGTAGAGGAGTTGGTCGAGTGCAGCTCTATCATCCAAGCAGAGCTCCTGGACATTCTACAGCTTTTCACCATGAAATGCCCCAATGATATAACCTTCTTAACATCCACAGTGAGTATCAAGCCATCACAACAAATAACCATATATGTACAAACCAGAACAGATTAAATTGACTTGCAGTATATCTTTGGCAAATAAAAGGAACTGTAACTCTGAAAAACGTTGCTGTTTGCATTGTCCATATTTGATTATTATGTTTTTATCTTAGAGTGTAGCAGAGATTCTGGCACACATTCAAAGTTACTTGTTTGAAAAAAAATACAGGTAAAGTTCACTAAAATACATTAGATTTGCATAAAATCTGATTTTATTGCCTTGGGGGCTCATGGCAAAAATGTAAGATAAAATACAGAAGAAGAAAATCTGATCCAAACAAATATAATGGCCCTAACAAAGTACACTTGCTAACTGGCTTTCATTACTGTTGTAGCTGTCCAAATGAGGATTATGGCATTCAGTGCATACAAGCAACTTGCAAACTTCTACAAAAGATCTGCAATCTAGTTCATTACTACAGCTATGGACGCAATTTCACTGATATTCCTGTTGGTTGCATGAACCTTGTCGCCTCTGTATCAGGATTTGCCCAGGTATTCCATTCTGAAATCATAATATCTTTATTTTAAAATACTAATTAAAGCCAATAGTCATTCAGAAGACATACCATTGATTCAGTGTGACAAATGTAATATTTTTTTTAATCTTTAAGACATCACAACAAGCAGACGCTTTTTCTGAGAAGATACTTGCATTACTCAATGAGGCCAAGCAAACTGTCAGAGCATGGAGCACACAAACTTTAAAAGGTAGACTTTTAAACAGAAGTTATGTGACGGGTGCCAGCTTCACTACAGAAATTGAGGTAAGCAGAACAAATGATCATACAAGCTAACCAGTCCATTACGCAAATTTTAAATCTATATAATTTACTACAATAATTATGTTTTATGTTCTTTTTGACAGATTTGGAATAACATTGTAGCCATAGATTTCATGAGTAAGGACTTCACTAAAGAATGGAGAGAGACATTTACAACAGACTTTGAGGGGAAATATCAACAGGTATTAATTACACAGTTCCAGTATGCATGTTTACTTGGGTTGGAAAATGGTCCACTATTTTATATATTTTGTTTTAAAAAAATACTAATAATTACAAATTCATGACTTTCAGTTTCATTAACTTTATTAAATATCTTCACTATTCCACTGGTGTGCAGGTAACGCTGTACTAAATATTCTGACAGTATGTCCTGCACCAATACTGAATCTACAGTGACACAGCAAAAGAAATGTCTTAGCTTCACAGTTGTGAACTTGTAATCTGGATTGATAATTACTATCAATTTATATGCACTTTAGGGTCATCAGATATGAATCCGTTTATTGACAGCTATCAGCTATCTTTGACAATTTTCTGTACTTCTAAATAAACTATTTATTTTTACTTCTATTAGGAAGATCAACTGGATCAAATCCAGGTTTATTGTTCAAAGATTGAGGAACTTAATGGCTCCCATCCTTATTTGGTGGGTAGTGTCGAGAAGTGTGCTCTCCAGGCTGTTACCACAATATGTCAGGTAAAGGCCTTTCTCTTTGTTCTCACTGACTTGTTCACTGCTGGCTTGAAATGCTTAGTGCTAGGGATTACGACCAAAATAGATTGTATAATATATATATATATATATATATATATATATATATATATATATATAGTCCTGTGTGTGTGCATGGAAAGGTATAGTTCACCCAAAAATGATATTAGCTCACTTCCTATAATTAGGTAGTTTCAAACAATTTTCTTTCTTTGAGGAAAACATGTAAGGGATAATGTACAGTTATCCTTATTACATGGCTGTGCAAAACATATATAAAACGAATATGAAATATTTGAGTGGAAATTGTCTTAAAATCCTACTTGTATAGTATTTCCTTAGCATTCCACAAGGAAAAATAATCCATTACAATGTACAAAACAATCATCCATGGCAACAAGAACGCTGCAACAATTTTGGAGCTGAAGTCCTCCAATTTCGTTTTCAAAATTAAGATGCAGATGACAGCAGTTGTGCTTGTATGAAACAAGACCTCTGAAAATCTGACCTCCTACTGCCGCAAATGACCAATCAGTATCAAGTATTGTACAAGTATTGAGCTGCACGATTTTAATGCAAAACAAGGAAAAGCACTTGACGAGAAGTGGAATAAATGATGACAATGTTAATTTTGGTTTCAGAAGTCATTAGCACATAGAGATAAAAATAAATTTTATGTTAGACTTTTCTGTTCTTTAGAGTTTTCCGTGTTTGTTTAAGCAATACATTGTTGAAAGTACATGGTTTCAAATTTCTTTCTAACAGTTGTTAGGGTACCTTTTGTGTGGTATTGAATATGGGAAGTGTACACTTACTGTGCAGACTTTTTTTAACAGACTAAATCCGAGGGGAAACTTTTTGAGAAATTAAACGAATATCGGATAAACTGGAAATTTGGAAAGCTTGTGTCTACCATCATCCTTAAGTCCTGGCCAAAAGATGACAAAGGAACCTATCTGGAGGAAGAAGAAGTTGTTCTCAAACATCTTCTGGGCTGGACAGCAGCTAAGAATATCTTCCAGCTTCATGGTAATTTATATGGTTATTATAATTATATGGTTTCTGTGTTTACCATTAATGAGACAGAAACAGCATGACAGTTATTTATTTATTTCTTCTGCAGGTGCTGATGAAAAACTGATTGATCAGCTTTCTGATGAGGCTAGAGAGAAATTTGCCATGGCAACCTCATTATTCTCAAACATTTTAAATCAAGTTGTGACTGGGAAAATAGCAATAAAGCTACTCAATCACATACTGCAAAAGAGGAGCGCTTTCTTTGAGCTGCTTAATTTAGGTAAAACTCCTCACATGTGAGATTTGACCCTTTTACCATATAATAATGTGAGTAGTCATTACCCTACTGCTTTTACAGACTGTTTTTGTGAGGATGAAAAATACAAGGACACCATTGCCATGAGGAGACTTCTTCAGTCTAGACAAGAGGAGGTGAAGTCTATTAATCATGAGAGAGCACTGGTGGATGCTCTTATTACAATGAGCCGCAATCTGCAAGAGCATGTGATGGGTATAGTATATGCCACATTATCTGCTGAGCTTCTGACAATAACATCGCTTTCATGAAGATTACACTAACAGAGCGTTTTCATTTTAATACTAAATATGTTCTGTTTTACAGTTGATTTTGAAGGGTTGGAAGAAAAACAGAATATTGACATTGATGAGATGGACTTGGACAAGTTCATGGAAATTCGTTCAATAAATCAGATTCCCTCTGAAATGTCAGGAGTAGTCACCTACTTTGAGCTAGAAGATGATGTTCGATCTATGGCAGAGGTTCTAAACCGCTATAAAGACAGCTACATTTTTAAATCGTGTTGGGTGAAACAGGCAGCAGTGTTTGCAAAGAACTCTAAAGATGATGGAATAATATCTTCAGAGGAGGAATTGGATATCACACTCGAAGATCTTCATAGTGAAATATTTGAACCATGTTATGATGCCTACAAAAACATATACACAAGGCTTAAAGATGGTAGAATAACATTTGAAGAAGTTGATGTAACATTCAAAGCCTACAAGGGAAAATATGATGAACTGGAAGCTGAAGTTGCAATTATATGCAAACTGGATCACAATGATGACCAGTGCTGGGTCCAGACAAGAATCCAGCAGATCGAGCAGTACCATGAGCTTCATCTGGCAGTGGAGTCAGCTCAGGTGGTCATGATGGTCAAACAAACACTCGGCCTACAAGGAGACTTTCAAGTTTTGGAGAAGTTGCTTGTTACTGTAAGTCATCAAATTTTTACCATTATGTTTCCTATTGTCAAATAAATGCATTTTTAATCAAAAATAAGGCATGTGGTAAACCCATGAGGCTTTCTTCCCTTCAGACACACTTGGAATTTAAACAGGAGCGTCTTGACAGCATTGACAATGAGTTGATGCAGGCAAAAACTGTGCTCGTGGACATCACAGAGTCCCGTAGACTGTGCCTTAGGGAGCTTGGCCTCAGAAAGAATTTTGTTATTTGGGTTAAAGAGGCTCTTGAAGGTAAATAATAGGTGTTTGTGCTGGTAATTGAATGTGATTTCTTAATTCTTATGCTGTTTTATAAGCAAATGTTATTAATTTTTATCACTTCAGACATCAATGAGTTGAAAGTCTTTGTGGATTTGGCTTCCATCTCTGCCGGAGAGAATGATTTGGATGTGGATCGTGTAGCCTGTTTTCATGATGCAGTTCTTGGCTACTCCTCAATGCTCTATGATATGAAGCCAGATGCTGGCTTCAAGCACTTTAAAGAAATGCTGAAGAAACTATGGAAGGCACTTGACAATGATCCCAACCTCCCAAAGAAATTGGTAAGAATATCTGCTAGCTTTACTAACTAGAGGAAGAAAATTGGATTTTCTGTAACACTTTATTTTAGGGTCTCTTAACTAGTTGCTTATTAGCATGAATATTACTAGAATATTAGCCATTTATTAGTACTAATTAAGCACATATTAATACCTTAATCTACATGACCTTATTCTATATCCCTAATCCTACATAATACCTCAACTTAACAACTACCTTACTAACTATTAATAAGCAGCAAATTAGGAATTTATTGAGGGAAAAGTCGTAGTTAATAGTGAATAAGTGTTCCCTATTCTAAAGAGTTACCGGATTTTCTTGTTCACCAACATTTTCTCTGTTTCAGTGTGACTCTGCAAGACACATAGAATGGTTGAAAACAGTCAAGGACAGTCATGGGTCAGTGGAGCTGTCATCTCTATCTCTAGCATCGGCTATCAACACAAAAGGCATCTACATTATCAGTGCACAAAATCAAAAGAAGGTTTGTTATTAACTGTTTGAGTTCAAATAAATGTAGCACAGACAATGCACACAGAAATTTTGAAATACTTAGGAGTATTTGCTAACATTATACTGGATTGCCAATTAAAATCAGGTTGAAGGGGTAGGTTTGCTTGGGAAAGTGCTACCTGGTTTCTAGCTGGTCCAAGCTAGTTTAGTTGGTTGATTTTTATAGTTTCCTTGAGAAGCAGTGACAATAGCTCAATGGTTATTTTTAGTTATCTTATCTTCATTAAATGGCACACTTGATGGCGATATTACTTAAGAAATATCAAACATTGAGTATTGCTTTTTTTCAGTTGTGTTTGGAAAATATTCTGAAGCTACATATTATGGAAGAGCATGATGAGGGCTGTGAGAGGCGTATTTATTCTCTGGAAGACCTCCGAGATCTTCAAAATAAATTGATGCTAATGTCTGGCAAAGGAGATCAGGGCCAGTGTGAAGTCGATCAGTTTGCAGAGGTGACTTTTTACCTTTTAGATGTTTTATTCTGTTATATTTCACCATGACTACTGTAATTATCCCCAAATTAACTTATTTTCCTTTTCCAGGTTTTTGCCAGTGTACAGAGGTTGGGCTCTGTATTCATTGATTTGTTTGTTGCTGGAAATCCATTGTTCAGACACTGGGAGGCAAACATCAACTGTAACAGTAAAGAAGCATGTATCATTTTGGACTTCAATTTAGGGAATGTTGTCAGTGTTGTCATGGTGGAAGGCGATGTCACAGAACAGCTGCCAGAAGTCTGTAAGAAAATGGAGAGCTGCTTATGCTTCTGGAAAGATTTTATGGACAAGCAGAGATCTCAACATTATTACTTAAACTATTACACTGCGGAACAGGTAGTCTACCTGTGCCATCAGCTAGCCCAGGGCAATGTGGCTGCAATGGAAGATCAAGTTCTTATGATGCTCTCCTTTATCAAATCTAATTGCACCACTTCAGATTTGAGACAGGCTTGGCACAGGCTTCAGTATGAAGTAATTAAAAAGGTTCCTGAGCAAAATGATGACTTAGACTTTCAAACTTTTATGGAAGTCCCCAGTATGATGGAGAACGAGAGTATTGAGAAGCCATGCCCATTGATTGATGACTTGGCAAGCCAGTTGGAGGATGCTATTGGGTCAAAAAAGCTAGGTGTGATTTGGAATGCTTACATGCGGAACATGAACAATTTTCTGCCAGACTCCCTTGATGTCAGAAGACTTGGATATCTTCTTGAAATTTTGGCCAACAGCCCCAGCGAACACAAGGCTGATTCCTCACAGGATGACAGAACAAAGTACATTCAGAGAGAACTTCCAAATGGAATGGCTACTGGAAAACCAAATTTAATCATCTGCCCTTCTGAAGAAATTCTGATATCTTGCATTTCAATATACATGAGCAGCAAGGGTCAGCCTCTACCAACCTATGATGAAGTACTCCTCTGTAGTGCTTTCACTTCTTATGAAGAAGTGGAACTTTTCCTCAGGCGCTGTCTCTCTGCTGGCTACAAGGGAAAGAAGATATACACAATGCTCTATGTGGACCAACTTACCTATGAAGTCAGCTACAAAGTGGAACAATTTTTTCAGCATCAAAGTGCACGGAGCAGAAATGATTACAGACTTGTTTTGGTCTGCAGCTCTAACAGAGAACATGCATACCTTCCTTCAGCTTTTAGTCAATTTAGATTGCACTTGATTCCCCAAGAACCAATTGTCAGTATTCAGCAATACCTTGTTAGGCATTTTACAGTACCAGCTGACATATCCAGTGCTGCTGCTATGTTCAAAGACAGACAGTGTGTGGGTGTTGTATCCTCAGAAAGATCAGGAGTTGGTGAGTATATATTCAAGTAATGGATTTAAATTGGCTAGTTTTCAGAATTTGTGTCCGCTAAATAAATTACCGTATTTGTGATTATAATTATTTTTGCTAAAAGTGTAAGATGCTAAATTACATCTGTGTGATGCATTCAAGGAAAATCACTTTACATTAAACGAATGTATGAGAATTTGAAGATCACCAAGAAGCCTTCACAGCTGAAGTGCATCAGGTTAATTGAGCCAAGAGTTGATGAAAATGTCATCATTCAGTCCTTGCTCAACAGCCCCAAGAAAAAGCTTTCAGTCTATCATTTTGATGTCACCACCATGGTAGCTATCTGATTTAGATTTTTTCATTTTTTTTTTTTATTATTTTATTTGGAAATAGAAAGAAATGTTGATGCTGTTTTCAGTGTTGTTTATATACTTACAGGTAAAGAAAGGACTTCATGAATTTCTGTTCAGGCTGCTGATCCTTGGATACCTTATGGACTCCGAAGGAAACATGTGGAAAAGCAGTAATGAGCACTTGTATGTCATCGAGATACTAAGACCTGGGACATCCCGAAATGATCGAAGAGCTGTAAGTTAACTCATTAAATCACTTAGGTAGAGGTTGACCGATACGGGTTTTTCACTGGCCGATGCTGATGCCGATATTTAGAATTCAGGGCAGCCGATGGACGATATATGATGCCCGATAACTTTGGCCGATTTTCTCTTTTTTTCCCATTCATCTCATAAAAGTGAGTTTGAGGAAGTAATTATTGCAGGGTACAAGATAGTAATGGTAGTATTAGCCCAATTTAGAGTAATAATACATGGCTCAAAACTTAAGCACCTTCTAAAAACAGTTCTGAAGGATGCTTTTTGTTTATGTTTGCTGACAGACACCAGTGTTTCCCACAGACTGCAAATTAATTCTCTGCCAGCAGGAGGTGCATTGGGAGCTGGAGATATAGCGGTTTCCCCAGTAACGGCTGTAATCAAATAAGCGCTGCTCACAAACGCTATCAGGCATTACAGGAAAGACGAAATGAAAATGACATCGAAGCTTTTCTGAAGACAGTCGGTTCTTTTCAAAGATACATTCATATAAAAACACACACGCTGCATTAAAAAAAATTTAAGCTTGAAGCGCTCATTTTATTCAACGAAGTATAAGCCTTTTGGAAAAATCTATTTGTGGCGGTCAGTTTTGATATTGTGATGAGCTGCCACAAATAACTCAATGTATAGGAAACGCTGGACACTGCTATAAGTCAAATGGCCATAGTGATAACAAAAATAAAAGATTTCACACATATTGCACTGCCTGCTGCTCATAACCGCTTAAGAGTGTGCTGGCCACGAGCGAATATATGATATTGTGGAGGCTATTGTCGGACCTACACACACATTTCATGAGGAAAGTTAATGTGCACGTTATAATCAGCCCAGAAGTTTCGTCTGAATTGAACGTGTTTCTACTTTCACATGCAAATGACTTATGAATATCATAAATTTCCAGCCTCAATTCTAGTAGGGTAAAACGTAATCCCGCTTTTGAAACGGTCTGTTTTGCCCTGCCATTAGCTGAGGCTGTGTGTGAACAAGCTGCTGCAGCCTGCAGAGCGTGAGCTGCTCCGTCTCACGCAGCCAGAGGGAGTTCCGCAAGAACGCTTAGCTGCCCGCCAGTGCGCCTGCCTATAAATCGGCCTAATTTGCAGCACAATCGGCCGATGCCGATTAATTAAAAAATGCCAAAAATCGGCCGGCTGATCAATTGGTCGACCTCTACACTTAGGAATTGTTGTCATTAATTAGACAAATGCTTTATAAATAAATTTTTCTCTTCATGTTAGGGTGCAAAAGTTTCATCTGCCTTCTTGGATGTGTTTCCAAGTGTCTACTGCCGTCCACCCAAAGAGGTCCTTGAGTTGGAAATGAGAATACAAGAAGATCCATCATTAGAACAGGGCGATGATCCCCTTATGGATGACCAAGAGTTCAAGAGTGAGGCCTACCAACGGCCTTATCAGTACCTGCACCGTTTTTACAATGGTGTCAATTTGGATGCTTTCATGTACCAAGGAATTGAGGGAACTCATGTTGAATGCCTGCAGATGTTGTTTGTGTATTGCGGCATTGTAGACCCCTCCTGGGCAGAGTTGCGGAATTTCACTTGGTTCCTGAACTTACAGCTTCGGGATTGTGAGAGATCGGTCTTCTGTGATGTTTCTTTCATAGGGGACACTCTTTTGGGATTCAAAAATTTTGTTGTTAATTTTATGATTCTCATGGCAAAGGATTTCGCCACTCCTTCACTTAGCATCTCTGATCAGAGTCCTGGGAGACTGCACAATGACCTTTCTTCTACCAATGAAGAGGATCTGGCTCCGTTTAGGATAAGAAAACGATGGGAGTCGGAACCACATCCATATATTTTCTTCAATGATGACCATGAGTCCATGACATTCATTGGCTTTCATCTTCAGCCAAATGCACAGAATGGGATTGATGCAATTGATCCATCAACAAACAGAGTGATCAAGCAGAACATTATGACCAGAGAGCTCTATGAGGGCCTCAAACTACAGAGAGTTCCTTTTAATGTTGATTTTGACCAGCTCCCAAGATGGGAGAAAATTGAGAGACTTTCCAGGGTGTTGGGAATACAGTGGCCGCTTGACCCAGATGAAACATACGAGCTCACCACAGATAACATTTTGAAAATGTTAGCAATTCACATGCGCTTACGCTGTGGGATTCCTGTAATAATCATGGGTGAGACAGGATGTGGGAAAACCAGGCTAATAAAATTCCTTTGTGAGATGCACAGAAGTGGAGTTGCCACCGACAACATGAAATTAGTCAAGGTTCATGGAGGGACAAGCTCAGACATGATTTACACCAAAGTGAGAGAAGCAGAGGCCATGGCGTTAAGAAACAAGCTGGATTATGGGTTTGGCACTGTGTTGTTTTTTGATGAAGCAAACACAACGGAGGCCATTAGCAGCATTAAGGAAATCCTTTGCGACAACACTGCTGAGGGAGAGGATTTGACAGGTGACACTGGCTTGCAAATCATTGCCGCTTGCAACCCATACAGGAAACACACGGATGTAATGATCAAGAGATTGGAGTCGGCTGGTTTGGGATACAGAGTTCGTGCTGAGGAAACAGATGAAAAACTTGGATCCATTCCACTTCGCCAGCTAGTGTACAGAGTGCAGGCCTTACCACCTAGTATGATTCCACTAGTTTGGGACTTTGGACAGCTCAATGACCATACTGAAAAAATGTACATCAAGCAAATAGTCGAAAGGGTAGCTGAAACCCATTCCATTGATTCAGACTATGTCACAACCATAACAGATGTTCTGTCAGCCTCACAGAAGTATATGCGAACAAGACAGGATGAATGTAGTTTTGTGAGCCTTAGGGATGTGGAGCGCTGCATGCAAGTTTTAGGCTGGTTCTACAAAAACCTCCCAATGTTACTCTCAGAGCTTGCCCAGTTTGAAAGTAATCAGAGAGCAGAGAGAAACTGTCAACATCAGAGGGATATTGATGAAAGAAACCCAATTCTTTGGTCGTTAATTATGGCTGTTGGTGTATGTTACCATGCCTGCTTGGAGGATAAAGAGAAATACAGAAAAAAAATTTGCGGGTACCTTCCAAAGACTTACAGCCCAATGAAAGTGATGCAAGAGATCTCCGTTATTCAGGGTCTTTTTTTGAGTGGTGTTCCGTTGGGTGAAACCATTGCCCGAAACAATGCCTTGAAGGAAAATGTCTTCATGATGGTGATTTGCATTGAACTAAGAATACCTCTGTTTTTGGTTGGAAAACCTGGAAGCTCCAAGTCCTTGTCTAAAACTCTGGTTGCAGATGGCATGCAAGGCCAAGCAGCCCATTCTGATCTGTTTAGAAAACTGAAGCAAATTCATCTAGTTTCCTTCCAGTGCAGTCCTCATTCTACACCAGATGGGATTATCAATACATTCAAGCAATGTGCCCGTTTTCAGGAAGGCAAGAATCTATCAGAGTATGTCTCAGTGGTAGTGCTAGATGAGATAGGTTTGGCTGAGGATTCCCAGAAAATGCCTCTGAAAACTTTACATCCTTTGCTGGAAGAGGGATGCATAGATGATCAGCCAGTACCACACAAGAAGGTGGGATTCGTCGGTATCTCTAACTGGGCATTGGACCCAGCCAAGATGAATAGAGGGATATTTGTTTCACGTGGTGATCCTGATGAAAAGGAGTTGATTGAGAGTGCAAAAGGAATATGTTCCTCGGATGCCATGATCCTTGAAAGGGTGAGAGATTACTTTCAGCCATTTGCCCGTGCTTACCTGAACATCTGTAAAAAACAGGGAAAAGGTTTTTTTGGCCTGAGAGACTATTACAGCTTGATAAAGATGATGTTCACTGTTGCCAAAGCTAATGATCAGAAACCTACTGCAGAACAGATTGTGAGGGCTGTGCTGAGGAACTTCAGTGGCAAGGATAATGTGGATGCTGTCACAGTTTTCACCAGCAGACTAAATATCAAACCCAGGCTTGAGGCTATCAGTGCCATTGAGCTTGTAAGAGAGAACATCGCAGCCATTGGACAAGATGAAGAATGCAGATACCTTCTGGTTCTGACCAAAAACTATGCAGCCCTTCAAATTCTTCAGCAGACATTTTTTTCAGACCAGTACCAACCAGAGATTATCTTTGGTTCAAGCTTTCCAAAAGACCAGGAGTATACTCAGATATGCCGCAATATTAACCGTGTCAAGATCTGTATGGAAACTGGCCAAACCGTTGTGCTTTTGAACTTGCAGAACTTGTACGAAAGCTTGTATGATGCCCTCAACCAATATTACGTTAGCCTTGGCGGTCAGAAATATGTGGATTTGGGGCTTGGAACCCACAGAGTCAAATGCAGAGTGCACAAAGATTTCAGGCTCATTGTCATTGAAGAGAAGGACATTGTGTACAAGCAGTTTCCCATTCCATTGATCAACAGATTGGAGAAACATTATCTTGACCTCAATACTGTACTAAAGAGTGAGCAAAAAGACCTTGTTGAGAAGCTTGAGCAGTGGGTTCAATCCTTCATTTCTGCTAGAGGCAAGCACTCAATTGCTCCCCAAGCACGCCGTTACTTTCCAGCTGATGCTTTCATTGGCTACCACTCGGACACTTGTGCATCTGTTGTGCTACAAGTTACAGAGCATATCAAAGGGCAGGAGCTCTCAGATCCTAGAAAAGTGATCTTAGATGAGGCTAAATTGATCCTTTTAAACTGTGCAACACCAGATGCCGTGGTTAGGCTGGACTGCACTTCCCTGTCCAATGTAGAAAGTGACCACTTTTCAAGGGTATACTTTGAAGACCAGAAGCACAGTTCCCTTGCTGACTTCATCCTTTCTCACCTACAGCAAGCTGGGCCTAGCCATGCCTTTTTCACAGAGGTAAATCCATTGAATTTTAAATACTCTGATTATTACTGTAGAAGAGTGTTTTTTGTTTAGGGGCTAGAACTGACTAGGGGGCCTCAGCAGTCTTTAAAAATAAGTTTAAAGGGTTAGTTCACCCAAAAATGAGAATTCTGTCACTAATTACTCACCCTCATGTTGTCCCAAACCAGTAAGACCTCCATTCATCTTCGGAACACAAATTAAGATATTTTTGATGGAATCTGAGAGCTCTCTGACCCTCCCATAGACAGCAAGGATCCTTACACGATCAAGGTCCAGAAACATAGCAAGGACATCGGTACAATAATCTGTGTGGCATCAGGGGTTCAACCGTAATTTTACGAAGCTACGAGAATACTTTTTGTGCACAAAAGAAAACAAAAAATAATTAATTAATTCAACAATTTGTCTCTTCCGCATCACCCTGGCGCCATTTTGGAGAGTATCCACTGAACATAAACAACGTATGCTATTCTGTGTCAGCAAACAAAAAGTATTCTCATAGCTTTGTAATATTACGGCTGAACACCTGATGTCACATGGATTATTTTACAGATGTCCTTGCTACGTTTCTGGACCTTGATTGTGTAAGGATCCTTACTGTCTATGGGAGGGTAAGAGAGCTCACGGAATGCATCAAAAATTATATTAATTTGTGTTCCGAAGATGAACGGAGGTCTTACTGGTTTGGGACAACATGAGGGTGAGTAATTAATGACAGAATTTTCATTTTTGGGTGGACTAAACCTTTAAAACAAGGTTTAAAATAAGGTAAAACAGCTAAAAAATCAAGATGCAAACTGGCAGTGGAATTAGTCATTTTACTTATTTATAATTATTTTACTTGGATATTTTAAAATATTGCCACTTCTAGTTTCTTTAAATAAAGAGATTGAAGCCAAGCAGCTTTTTCATTACAGCAGAAGCACCAGAAATATCTTAGTCTACTTTGGGGGGAATTCAAATACGGTCATGGATAATGAGGGACCTTGGAGACAAAAAGTTTTAGAACCACTGCTCTAGAGCAATTCATAAAATTTCAATCTTAGCACCTGCATTCTTTTTTTCTAACCCTTAGGTGACTACATTCTCAAGGCTTCTGACTGCTGCAGAAACTGAACAGCTACAGAACGTAGTTCAAAACATAGAGCTCCTTTCACTACAGCAATTTGACACTGAACACTCATTCCTCAAGAAAATCAAGTATTGTGCTCACAACATCACTACATCTTGTCACATCACAACAAAAATGCTTAAGTAAAAATGCTTTGTTCTTAAGTAAATGAATTAAAGCCCTTTTCTCTGTACTCAGGAATTATTTGGAAAACACCACTGGGGACAAGATACTTATCATCCAATCCGATTTTGATGAAGGCTCCCCAAGGTTAAATGTCATTGCATCTGCAAAGTGAGTTAAATGTGGTTGGTGGCATATTTTGCCAGTTCAGTAAATGCAAAGCAGCGTAATTTGAACTTAAACTATATTTCCAGGTATTCTTCTATCAATGAAATCAACAAATTCAGGAAAGAGGACAATCAAAAGGTTTTTGTGTACTTCATCACTAAACTACCCAGAATGGATGGTGGAACTTCCTACATTGGATTTAATGGTGGTAAGACTAGTTTGAGTTCATCAATGACCAACACTGTTTGTTTTAACGAAAATCTCATCTCTAAAGTTTCTTTTATAAGGGCCATGGAAGTCAGTCCACATTGATGACCTCAGAAGATCGAAAGATTTTGTCTTTGATATAAAAGCCTTGCAGTGTCTGACCATTAGCCAGCTGTTTGAAGAGAAAGCAGATGAACCTGAAGGTGGTGTCATTTTATTTTTAAAATATCGAGCATTATCTTTGGGTTGATTCACATTCTCAAAAAAATTTAAATCATTTTTATTGCTTGCAGCTATGGAGGTTGATGACATGTACACAGAAGAAGAAAAGATGGAGCTAGAAGACAATACTGTGAGTCACATCCTCAACAGCAGCACTATATTTTCAGTATTTTTGTGATACTATTGCCACCTTGTTCAGTACACTTCTAGGAAGGCTCAGTAAGTAAAAATTAAGTTTGTGCTCTTCAGGGCTGGAAGAATGTTCTGGACACCACAGCACTAGTGCGAAGCTGTGTTCAGAGTGCAGTTGGCATGCTAAGGGATCAGACAGAGACAAGCACCCGTAGCACCAAGAGAGTAGAGATTCTGCTAATGCTCTTAGCTGACAACAAGACTGTACACGGTGAGAGATTGCTGTTTCTATTTTTATTCTTTATAGCTTTCATTAACTGTCTTATAAGGGATCACTGATATTTAGGTATTTATGTTACCAGCTGAATTTCTGAAAACTTTAAAGAAGCGACTTCATTTTCTATTGATGACTCATGATGAAAACACAATCTCTGCCAAGAGCTGGGTCTCAAAGGAAGCACTAAATACTGATGCATTGCAAGAAGGTGGGACTTTTAGGTAAGTGTAAGAAAAAGAGTGTTTTGCACAGTATATTAGATTGTAGCTTTTCAGATGTTCTCATGGAACCTCATTGGCTTGACTAGCCCTTATAGGCTCTTTGTAAAACCCTATACCTTCTATATATTCTGTTTTTTACCCTATACCTTCTACTCTTACCTTCTCCTACCGTCTTCAACTCTACTTTTAATTATTATTTGTTTGTTTTTTAGACATGCCCTGTGGAGGCGAGTTCAAGCAGTAGTAACTCCCTTCCTTGCACAACTTGTTTCAATTATTGACCGTGACTGCAATCTAGACCTCTTGCTGGATAGAAATTCTGAAGAATCTTTGAAGAAACTGTGGTTGGACATTTTTGGGGATTTCAAGTTACTAAATGTTCCTTACACAAGAGTGGAAAACAAGTATGTAATTATTTGATTTCAAAGTGCATTTTGTGAGCCAAAACATATGCAAATATGGTAATGCTCCTGTTTCACAAGCTTGATTGTACTTTGTGTCTGACAGGAATTCATAACGCAAAGCAAATATGCATTGCATTCTCAGCATTGCTGCTCAGTCAGTTTTTTTTTTTAAGGTCAACTACTGTTATTTCTGACTCTGAGCAACAGTAAAAAGAGAATACGTCTTAGCAAGTTACTCAACTGGTATATAGCTAGCTACCCAAATAATAACATTAATGGCAATGAACATTATGGTATTTCAAATTCTCCCCACGAATGAAAAGCAAGAGCATGTTGTGTAAATCTTAATCATACACTAACAATGTTTTCTAAGCAATCATGTCTACAATTAGCAAGTCATTGCTGTAACTGAAAACACTGTTTTATAGCTCTGAGACGAAGACAATCTTGGTTCAGAACCACATTGCAGTCGACAGGAACATAGGTTGCACCTTGCCTTTCAGCTGGAGGATTAAAGATTGTCTAGAGGAAGTCTGGGTGCATGCTTTGCAGCGAGAAGGTATTTTACACAACTTCCCTTGCTATGTTTTTTTTAATGACCAATCATTTTTAAATGAGGTATGTTCTCTTGAAGAGTTCTTTTTCATTTTCCTTTAACTCTTTTTTTTTTTTTTTTTTTTTTTTTTTTTTTTTTTTTAAACAGGAAAAAAACAATAAAAAACAATAAAAGCTGTTTTGGCATTTCTTTCAACAGGACATTCTATAAAGCAATTTGAAGAGTTCTTTTGGAAGACCCCCTTGGGCAGGTGCATCTCTGAAGCAACCCAAGAGATGCAGATGGAGTTTTTCCACAGGTATCTCCAGGATTTTATCTCCATGACCATGAATGTAACATCAGAGGTGGATCTCAAGGTGAGTAACAAACCCTTTCAGAGCTAGATTTCTACCCATCATTTACACATCCAAGCACACTTGTTCATGTGTTGTTTTTACCTTTTACTGTAGCTCTTACGTGGCACCCTTACTTGTGGTGTACATGAGCTTAGAGGCGGTCAGGAAGCACATGAGACTGAAGTCATTTCTCTGGCATGGGTTCATGCTGCCTACCATCATTTCAAGAACCGAATACAGAACCTCTACAGGATGATCAGTATAGAGCCTCAGATTGCTCACATGCTAATTGATAACAGATGTGCCAGAGAGGGCACAGAATTGGTAATTGCATTCAACTTCCTTCTGCTGCTGAAGTTTGCATGAAAATATTTGTCACAGTGTATTACAGTGATTGTTTACTTCCCCCGACCACCTTTCTGTTTTTCAGGTGTTAGATATGTACGCTGCTGTGGCCTGTATTGAATACCTGGAGCCCCAGACTCTAGATGGAGATGTTCAGAGTCTGACCTGGCTTAGACGTGTAAAAAAACTACAGGTCCCAATTGAGCTGGTCTGCTGTGAGGAGGGCCTACGCCACTATGGAGAGAAAAGCAAACAGATGGTCACCCACATCCAGTGAGTTATGAGCTCTCAAATTTTTGTCTTTAATGAGCTCTACAATTATTGTCTTCATGAGTCTTGTGAAATGTTACAGCATGTACAAGTAACATGTTATTTGTCTATTTTTGTTACATTATTGCTTGATAGCACCTACAACTCTGGGGAGTAAGCTGTTTTTCAGTCTGACAGTGTGGGACTTGGTTGCTCCTATATCTGTTTAGATACCTTAGATCAGTGGTTCAGAGCCTTTTTACCTTTTTGACAAGGCCCCTCATTGTAAAGCCCTGCACGGGCCTCAAATCTAGGCCCTAACTTTGCCCTTGTCCAACAGAATCGGAATTTGTCAGACTGCAGCCATTAAAAATAGTCCACTTTTGTTTTTAATTGCAAAATGGTTACTTTAAGTTAATATTGAAAAATGTTTTGTTAAATTCAAGTTTTCATTTTTTAAAGTGATGAACTAGCGGCCGACAGTGAGTTGACCTCATATTTGATCAGGTTAAACTTTTAAAATCAAGACTTGACTTGAGGTACCTTCAATAAAATCCATAGAAATAAAAAACTTCAAGCATATCACAATGTTAGATTAAACGTTTAACCTAAATGTGCGCTATTAGGTGCATTTCCAAGTGTTTCTGTGGACTATGGAAGCTAAAGCGTGCTTAGGGCACAATTTTTCCCGATTAACTTAAAATACACCATAATTTTTGCTCTTCCAGATAAGAGTAATGTGTCATTCGAATCTGTAAAAGGTTTACTTTTCTTTGTGTACCTTATGTTACCTTAACATGTAAGGCACCGCTGCGATCACATGCATTATTTTCTGATAGCAATGGAAACAACTTAAAATACGCTGTCATTTTTGCTCTTCCAGATTAGAGTAATGCATCATTCGAAACTGTAGTAGGTCTATTTTCATTTGTGTATATTCACATTATCAACAAAATCCCATCGTGCTCGGGCTGAAATGCGGGGCTCTACCTCTTTGTCCATAACAATATTCAAGGTCCCCGGCACACAACCCTGTCCCCAGTGCTGGTTTTGCTTGCAAATAATACTATTTACTGTATTGTGTAGTTATCAATATTATAATTTATTATCATTACATCATTGAATTATTAATTTTCAGACATGGCTGGCGTCGCATTTGCTCTCTGGCCTTGTTTGTGGAGCACATGCTGCTGGGTGTTGGAGATGTGAGGTTGAAACTCAGGCCACTAGTTCTGGAACACACTCGACGCCTAGCACAAGTGAGTCGACTCTGTTCAAGAAATTATTTTCAGGGAAATTGACAATTTCATTTCTGCTTATCAGCACTCATCTCTTTGCTAAAGGTCTTAGAGCGGGACTCAAATCTCAAAAAGAGGCAGCCGTTTGAGGCAGTGATCACCATACTCAAAGCCTGCAAAGATGGAGCATCTCAAACCATTTTCAGGTTTTTTTTATTAGTAATATTTTCTTTAATCAAAAGATTTAGTAAGAGGCTACTAAAGGAGTGTGGTGATTTGTCACTGTTTGTTTACACAGGTTTGGCATTCAGCCTTGTCCAGTGTGCATGGGAGACCCTCAGGACCCTTTGAGTCTGCCCTGTGACCACATCTACTGCCTAACCTGTATCAAACAGTGGCTGGGGCCTGGCCAGATGCACTGCCCTCTGTGTGTACAGGAAGTGCCTGATGGCTTTGTGCTCAAGGCCTCTGATGAAATACGGTAATCTGCTAATTGTTTGGGATGAATAGTTGTTCTTTATCTCTCTGATTGTCTGATTGTATTCTCTCTATCGTTCTAAAAGATGATGTGCTTATTTTTGGTCATTAGGGATCTCATCAGTCAAAACGCATTGTTCAGAATGAGATGCAATGCTTTCTTCATTGATCTGGTCACTACTGTGTGCTTCAAGGACAACACTCCTCCCAGCAGAGACATCATCCTACACCTGTTGTCCCTCCTGATGGTGGAGTCCCGCTCACTCCCTCAGATCAAAGGTATGTCTGTTTAATATATGTGTGGAGGTCTAGGTTTTGATCGGAATGAATAAATGACCAGAACATTGTTCCTCATCCTCTCAGGGCGAGACCGGAGGTTCTTGACTAAGGCTCTTTCTCCCTTTGATGACTCTGTCGATAAAAATCCAGTGGTGCGTTCAGTGGTACTGAAACTCCTGCTCAAGTACAGGTGAGCGCAGGGCTTCTAACAGCTCACAGTACACTCTTAAACATTTATCGAGATAATATTTTTTGTCTTTTCCCTTTTTCAGCTTTGATGATGTGAAGCACTATCTTCAGCAGCATCTGACAGAAGTTGAGCAAAGCAACATCATTGAGGAGACTGATAAAACCGAGCTTTATTCTTTGTACATAAACTGTTTGGAGGTGTGTATATCACTGCCCTGACCAACTCGCGTTCACCTGCCATGTTTTACAGCTTAGCTTTAGTAGTTTATGTTAATGGCATATTTTTGGTGATATGAATAACTGCATATCAACTGTGGAAAAATGGCATGCTGATTAAGGATTATACTTTTCTGCTTTTATTCTTTTCTATACATCTTATCTTACTCTTACTTTAAAATATATTTTTTATTACTTTCTCAAGAATTAGTGTCAAAATACCCTCATGTGCAATATGTTTAAAATGTGGTTTAAAGTACAGTATGTTTCTCCTATGTTTGCAGGACTCAATGTATGATCGGACACAGTGGCATTCTGTGGCGGAGCAGCAGGCCTGTTTACAGGAGGAAACTCGTTTTCTGCTGGAGTTCCTTCACTCTGATGCTGTGTCTGCACACACTGCATCTATAGAGCATCTGCAGCGGGTGGCCAGAGTTCGATTGTGCCTGGATATGGCGGCTGACCTGCTAGTGAATAGAGTGACAAGTGCTGGTAATTTGAAAAAGCCTGTAGTGCTTGTGTTTTAGTGTGTGACATGAAACGTGACAGAACATGTCCAAGTTACATTTCAAAATTACATGAAAAAAAATTGTATTGTGCACAAAGGCATAAATAACTTATTTTAGGAACTTACTTTATTTATTTTTTTTGCATTGCAAAATTATTATTTTTTTTTTGCGGTTGTTTTCTGTTATTTCTCCCCAGTTTTGAAACATTATTGCAACAGTTCATGAAATATGCACTATGATAGGGTGACCATATGTGCCATTTTCCCTGGCCAGGATTTGTTTTGGCTTTGTTTTCCTGTTTTCATGCTTGCTGAAGGTAATGATCGAAAAGTATTTTGACCAATAACATGCAAGCATTGTACATAATGGACCAATCATGGCGTGTGAGAAGGTGGGATCTACTGTCAAAGCGATGCAATTACACATACATATAGGTGTGTTCGACTTAAAAGCAGTGCGGCTCAGACCGATCAGTGTTTGACATCAAAGTACCTCGAGAGCGTTTCGAAATCATAACCGTCTGTATGGTACTTTGATGTCATACATCGGTCTGCACACGCAAACAAAGCCAAAACCTAGATATTTTAGGCAATATAGAAATCCTGGCCAGGACGCGTCCTGGGAAAATGGCACGTATGGTCACCCTACACTATGACCCTAGAATGTTTTCATGAGATTCACCCAAAAACAACAAAAAAAGTTGTCATGATTGTCAAAGGCTAGAAACTAAAGTTGAGAAAAAATTCTGTATTTGAAGTTTAAATAATTTTTCTATTGATATTGTTTTCCTGATTTTAGGTGCACACGATGATCCTTCAGCTTTTATCCCATCGTTTTTGGACAGCGTGGTTAGTCTGTGCTGCCAAATCAGGAATGACTGGTACAGGGTTTACCTCATCAGAAAGATCTGCAGTCTTCATGGGGTTGAATATGTCCAGAAACTTCTGACACAGGAAGGGTTCAAGTGGCTGTTTCCTCAGGAGATTCTTGAGTCGGTGGGTTCCATTTCAAGGGAACTTTGAACTGCGTCCTCTAGGGGTCGCTATGGGGAATGCCTCGTCGTGACCCGTGTCTGAAGCATACATTGAAAAAACACCAACAACACGTTGGCCGGTGACAGCCATGACGTCACTACTGGTTCGCAATAGTATAAATAGACGCCGGGAGAACACATCATCCTCTTCTTCGTCTTCACTGACTGTTTTGTTTGAAGCGTGTAAGAGTGATCTCTATTCATATCATTATGGTGAGCACTAGCAAAGCGTTTAGAGGATGTGTGCATCCGTGTCGTCGTTATTTGACATCTGATGACACGCACGATGACTTTGTTTGGGCGATGCGCACGCACGCATGCAATGTCCTCGAGGGGGAAATCTGCGTGCACTGCGAGCGTTTTACAATGAAAAAGCTCCGCTCTCGTTTGTCTCTCTTTTCAAGGAAAGAGGGGCAGCCATCTGCTTCCCGCGGTTCAGGACCCGCCACTGCTGAGGCACGGAGGAGAATGAGCTCGTGGGGATCGCAGGTGGATCTGGCTGATGAGTTTAAAAAGGGGCTTTCCCTCTCGCGATCGTCGGCTGTGGACGAGAGTGAGCGGCTGGAGGATGATGTTATTTCCCTGTCTGATCCAGGGGCCAGTGCTCTGCTCGGTTTAGCCCAGGAAGAGCAGGAAATGTCTGAGGAGAGTGAAGAAGCTTAGGCTGAGCCTTCCCAATCCTCCTGCCCTGCGTATGATGAGCTTTTGGAAGTTATGGATCGCGCCACGGCGAGGCTTGACTTGCCGTGGAAGCGGGCAAAGAAAGTGACATCGCGAGGTCATCTCCATAAGCGTTATCTTTCTGGACATAACCCTCCAGCTCAGGTGAGCCTTCCTTTTCTTCCTGATCTCCATACAGAGATCGAGAAGGAATGGAAGAAGCCGTTTACCTCACGCATCCATCGATTCCAGCATACGAGTTATGCCAACATCGAGGCGGTGCGTGAAAACGGCTATGAGAAGATGCCCCCTGTAGAAGAGACGCTGGCCAGCTATCTCTATGGGCGAGACGTCCTCTCTTAAAACTCTCTCCTTGCCATCTAAGCTTCAGGATACATCTCGCTTGAATGGCAGGGCATACACAGCAGCAGGTCAGGCTGTCGCTTCGTTGCACACAATGGCGGTGCTCCAGGCATATCAGGCTGACCTGCTGAAAGAACTGGATAAAGGTAAGGGCCTTTCTCCTGATGAGGTAGCTGAATTGCGCCGCACCACAGATCTCGCTCTCCGTGCTACTAAGCAGGCTGCCTCACTACTATGGTAGTGACAGAGAGACATCTGTGAATGAAATTGGCAGATATCAGGAAGAAAGAGAGGGGCTTTCTTCTCTGCTCTGGTTTCGCCTTCCGAACTTTTTGGTACCTCCGCTGAGATGGTGGTCGAGAAGTTCAGGGAGGAGAAGGCGCGCTCAGCAGCCTTCTAATCCTTCATTCCATGAAGGTCCAGGTCTGAGCCCAAACAACCCAGGGGTCCTGGCCCGTCTCAGTTTGAGGATCAGAGACGGGCTCTGAAGGCTAGTGTCGTGGCTCGTGAGTAGGGGTAGGAGGAATCGCGGATCAAAGGGAGGTAGGCAAGACCTAAGGGATATGATCCAGACAAGGCGTCAGCGCTTTCGTCCGAATCAGAGTGATACTTGAGTATCTACTCATTTCCTTTGGGGGTTTTACATCTGCCCTTATCTTCCCCTTCCTAATTCCCCTGTAAACCACCATCTCTCCACCTGACCGAGGTTAGGTGGGAACTTCCTGCATTACAGCCTCCTATGCTGGACCTATGATGTGTTTGTTGGTTCTATGGCTTCATAGTGACCACCTTACTGATGGTCCGGACTAGAGGCTTCTTCGGGTCGCTTCTTGAACGGGGCTCTGGCGTGGGAACCATGGTGGGTGAGTACGATCCATTTCTCTCTATATATATATACAGTGGGGCAAAAAAGTATTTAGTCAGCCACCAATTGTGCAAGTTCTCCCACTTAAAAAGATGAGAGAGGCCTGTAATTTTCATCATAGGTATACCTCAACTATGAGAGACAAAATGAGAAAAGAAAATCCAGAAAATCACATTGTAGGATTTTTAAAGAATTAATTGGTAAATTCCTCGGTAAAATAAGTATTTGGTCACCTACAAACAAGCAAGATTTCTGGCTCTCACAGACCTGTAACTTCTTCTTTAAGAGGCTCCTCTGTCCTCCACTCGTTACCTGTATTAATGGCATCTGTTTGAACTCATTATCAGTATAAAAGACACCTGTCCAAAACCTCAAACAGTCACACTCCAAACTCCACCAAGGCCAAGACCAAAGAGCTGTCAAAGGACACCAGAAAAAAAAAGAGACGCTGGCCAGCTATCTCTATGGGCGAGACGTCCTCTCTTAAAACTCTCTCCTTGCCATCTAAGCTTCAGGATACATCTCGCTTGAATGGCAGGGCATACACAGCAGCAGGTCAGGCTGTCGCTTCGTTGCACACAATGGCGGTGCTCCAGGCATATCAGGCTGACCTGCTGAAAGAACTGGATAAAGGTAAGGGCCTTTCTCCTGATGAGGTAGCTGAATTGCGCCGCACCACAGATCTCGCTCTCCGTGCTACTAAGCAGGCTGCCTCACTACTATGGTAGTGACAGAGAGACATCTGTGAATGAAATTGGCAGATATCAGGAAGAAAGAGAGGGGCTTTCTTCTCTGCTCTGGTTTCGCCTTCCGAACTTTTTGGTACCTCCGCTGAGATGGTGGTCGAGAAGTTCAGGGAGGAGAAGGCGCGCTCAGCAGCCTTCTAATCCTTCATTCCATGAAGGTCCAGGTCTGAGCCCAAACAACCCAGGGGTCCTGGCCCGTCTCAGTTTGAGGATCAGAGACGGGCTCTGAAGGCTAGTGTCGTGGCTCGTGAGTAGGGGTAGGAGGAATCGCGGATCAAAGGGAGGTAGGCAAGACCTAAGGGATATGATCCAGACAAGGCGTCAGCGCTTTCGTCCGAATCAGAGTGATACTTGAGTATCTACTCATTTCCTTTGGGGGTTTTACATCTGCCCTTATCTTCCCCTTCCTAATTCCCCTGTAAACCACCATCTCTCCACCTGACCGAGGTTAGGTGGGAACTTCCTGCATTACAGCCTCCTATGCTGGACCTATGATGTGTTGGTTGGTTCTATGGCTTCATAGTGACCACCTTACTGATGGTCCGGACTAGAGGCTTCTTCGGGTCGCTTCTTGAACGGGGCTCTGGCGTGGGAACCATGGTGGGTGAGTACGATCCATTTCTCTCTATATATATATACAGTGGGGCAAAAAAGTATTTAGTCAGCCACCAATTGTGCAAGTTCTCCCACTTAAAAAGATGAGAGGGGCCTGTAATTTTCATCATAGGTATACCTCAACTATGTGATCATATTGTCCTGACTATTGTTTTGTACACCGTTCATAATGGATTTATAAACTGGTAAGATTTTAAAACATTAATCTCAATTCAATATTTCATGTCCCCGTATTTATATATTATTAAAGGTAAACAAAATAAAATCTGTGTAATAAGTTAACTATGAATATTCAATACATTATCCCTTAAATGTCAACCTTAATAGTTTGAACGTTCGTTCGTCTTGGCTCAAAGCCACTTGCTGCGAACTTTTCTTCGCGGAAGCTTTGCGTTAATTACAAGTGAGATAACGAAATATTTAATCTGTAATCAATATTTTTTGTCCAATTATTTGCCCAGTTAGTTTTGGTATTGAGGTAAAAGTTACCTTGCATTCGCTATATAACATGAAGATGACTGAGCAAATTTGACACGTTTCCCCCTTTTGCAGCGACATTCTTCTTGCTAGATCGGCATACAGGGTGACCATCCTTGATTAAATTGCCTTCAGGACTCATGTAAAGCCAAAATACGACCAGACCACCGATTTGGTCCTCTTAGATGGCTAAAAATCTCCCGAGCGCTGTCACTGCCTTCCGCCATTTCGTCTTGTGCAAAAAAACAACAACAAGTTGATTTAGACCCCGGTACCTTGGGCTCCTCTCAACCAGTGTGTCTCTGTTGACACACTTTTGAATCATCGCTCCCCTCACCATTGAGGGTTATTGTGCGCATGGTGCTTTCTTTCGAGCGTTTGAATTCTCTCCCTTCTGAGGAGTTGGATTCCTCGCTCCGTGGGCTGTTCTCGTGGTAGTGTTTAGCAGTGCTCCCCTTTATCAAAGGGTTACCTATGAGCACACTACTCCTTTCTGAATTCGGAGTTCTCCTCTCACGTGAGAGTTGAGTTCTCCGTTTTCCCAGAGCACCTGGAACCAGCAGAATCAGGTGAACTAGGCCCTTCCTCCACCTCTCTGATGCGCTGAGTTTTTTGGCTAGCTTGCAGTACTCTTACCCTTCTGATTTCTAACGATCGTGCTGTAGGTCGAGCCCCCTCTCGATTGAGAGCTGGGTGTTTGCTCCCTCAGCTAGAGATTTACTGCTAGCCACTCCAGCATTATACCTTAGATCGAGTTGATGACTTCTCATACATATTGTTTTTGGGATGCACCATTTCCAGCTATGGGCTGCTCTTTCAGAGTGCCACGAGGGCCCCTTAGAACGGTATTTTAAAATCCATGTCATGGTAAGTGTGCAAGTGAAGTCTTTGTACACTTTCTAAAATCCACACTGTGGTAAGTTCGCACGCTAGTACTTTGCGTTCTTTCTAAAATCCTGTATGGTGAGGGCTTCGCCCTTTCTTGAGCTGGTTAATCCCCAGTTCCACCTTGGGCACCACTCCACCTTGTATCTTCCGGATACCCACCTTTAACAGGGTGTTGTTACTAGGGGTCTGTTGAGACAGTTCCTTCAGCATATGCAGAGCATGCGGTAGCCCCTTTCTGACAGGCCAAGACTTAGTATGATTCTAGGCTCTTGGTCGTATTCCCTTAAAGGAGTCTATTCCTGATTCCAAGCCTTGAGCTCTACCCCGGGCCCAGGAGTTCTGGCCCTA